TCCCTCACCCTCCTAGCTGGAACTTTCCAGTACAGAACAAGTAGCTCTTCCAAAGAAATGTCAAGGTTCCTTTACCCTGCACCTGTGTGAAGACATGGTTAGAGGGCACCATCCCAAGAATCTGAAAGCAGGTTCTCACACACTGACTGTAGCAATGCCTTCGTCTTCCAAGTAGACTATTGCTGTTTCTCAGAACCTGAACCTGTGGTGTTTCAATACATAAACCTCAACAGGTTAACACGGAACACGGAAGAGAGGTGATTATGTAGGAAAGAAGAAAAACATGTAGGGAAGAGAAACACATTTATAACTAGGATGGCCATAGAATTTGGAAAAATGGACAAAATCATGACACCTTTGACATAGAGGACACTAAGGATAATTCCAGCGGGATGGCATCTGGGAGTTAGAACTGTCCCGAAGAAACTAGAGTGTGTAGTCACTCTATGAATAACTCATCAAGGCATTTGAAAGTAAACCACCAGCACGCAAGAAGGTCAACATGACTTGGTTTGTAGACGGGTGCCGTCAGATGTCACAGCACAAGGATAGGTTTTGTAGCATGCAAGGAAATAGATGAGATTGCTTTCAGCCAGTTCTTCAAAAAAATGCCTTTCCCCCAGCCAGACCTTTGAAAGACACTGAATAACAATGCACTCAAGATTAGGTACTACGCAAACGCATCTCTCAAAAATTGCAGGTTAAAGACAGACCTGTGCATTTTGCCAGTCAAAGGAAAGGTCAGAACAGCGTCTCGTATTATTAAAATTAGCAGTGGCATATGGGAATGTTTACTCTCACTTTAATTCTAGAAAAATGGAAAAAGTTCTTATTTCTGTGAACAATAATTTGCTTACACATGAAAAGGTGATTGAACTGCGACTTATTACTGATGATGCTTTACAGTTTCATTTCGCTTGGAAAATAAGATAGATTTTGTAAAAGATGGCATTATTATTTTTAGGTCTAGAGATAGGCTCAGTGGTAGAGCACCTGCTGAGCACATGCAAGGCTCTGTCATTGAATCCTACATCACAAAATAACCAAATAAATAAAATACTATCATTTTGCTGCCAATTCAACAGCTACATGCCCTTCTTCTACTTCCATTGTATTTAAGCAGTGTTTCTAAGTGGACGTCATGGGGTTGGTTCTGCTTTTTCCTCCAGCATCAGGATATGCTTGTCTCCATCCTTCCAGTGCTAGGAACATAGGCGTACACAACAATGTACAACTTTTACATGGGTGCTAAATATTCAAAGTCCAGTCCTCAATGCTCTCAGAACTCGAGCTCTTATCCACTGGGTTGCCTCCCTATTATAATTTTTAATAGATTACTTTTTAACACTTCTACATTCCACTATGCCCACCTAGCAACTTTTACAAGTCAGGTAAATTTAAAATTCTAAACTCTGGAAGCTCCGTGTTAGTTAAAAAAGCAAACCCAACTGTATATTTGATCTTATGTAGTAAAATGGTAAAAGAAAATTATCTTCTTTTCACAGAGGTTGGTTTCCAATCCAGGGCTTCATCCACTCTAGGCAAAAGCTCTCCCACTGAAGTCATTCACCGGGCCTGTAATAATGCTTTCTGTTTTCTATTCCTGATATCAGGCTTGGTAATGCTTCATGATCTTTATACTGTTTTTTTCTTTAAAAGTTTTGAGCATATTATAATATCTAAAGTATCTGCTAAGCTCCGTCGTCTCAGGCTTGGGTTATAGCTCAGCTGGGGGAGTGCTTGCCTGACATGCACAGAATTGTGGGTTCAACTGCACGCACCTGGTTGTGATAGTGTAGGTCTCTAATTTCAGCACTAAGAGCATGGGGGGAAGGAAGATCAGAAGTTTAAGGTCATTCCTGGCTCCATAGTGAGTTTGAGGCCAGTTTGCACTATGAGATCCTGTTTCAAAAATAAACCAAAACCGTCACCTCAATAATTGATGCATATAATTCTATTGATTGATAGCTCTCTGATATGAGACTCTTTTTTTTGCTTGTTTGGATGGCTTTCAGTTTTATATTGAATTCTGGACATGGCAGTTTTTACATTGTGTATGTTTGTATTCTTTCTCCCTCTCTCCTTCTCTTCTTTCCTCCTGTCCTCTTTTGTCGGTGCTGAGGGGTTAATCAAGAACTTCAACCATGCTAAGAGTTGCTCTACCACGGAGCCACTCCCCCTGTTCTCGTGTTTTTTGGTGGATGTTGACATTTGTTTGGCAGACATTTAAGGTCCTTTTGGATGGGACTGAAACTTTCAAGATTCTTTTTATAGCTTGGATAAGGATGATCATGAAGAATCTTAACACCAATTCAGGCTTGTAACTCATCTGTGGCCTTTCATAGATCTCTCCTGAATACCCAGGGGGTACAGACTCCAGTTTGCAGGGCTTCTAGTCTCTCTCAGCCTTGTGTGGCACTGGGGTGTCTCAGCTGACACCTCCTCAGTCACTTTTACTGCTCTGATTTCCCCCTCTTTATTGAAAATACATTATTTTCTTGTATAATGTATCTTGACTACAGTTTCCCCTCTCTCTATTTCTTTCCCATCTCCCATCCCAACCGAATCCACTCCCTTTCGGTCTCTCATTAGAAAAGAACAGGCTTCTAAGAGACAACAACACAGTCACAAAATAAAACACAGTAAGATAAAAGAAAACCACCACATCGAAGTTGGACAAGGCACACCAAACAGAAGGAAAAGAGCCCAAGGGAAGACACAAGAATCAAAGACCCACTTGTTAGGCCCTCAAGAGTCCCATACTAAGCTGGAAGTTATAATACATGTGTAGAGGGCCTGGGGCAGAGCTGTGTAGGCCTTGTGCATGTTGCCCCCATCTCTGTTCTTTTGAGTCTCTTGAGTTCTTACGAGCTTTGCTCAGTTGATTCACAGGGCCTTGTTCTCTTGGTATGCTTCATCCCCTCTGGCTTTTATTCTCTTTCTGCCTTCTCTTCCGAGGGGTTCCCTGAGCTCTGAGGGGAGAGATTTGATGGAGACCTCGCATTTATAGCTGTGTGTTCCAAAGTCTCTCTCTATATAATGCCTGGTTGTGGGTCTCTGTATTCGTTCCCATCTACTGGTCTTGTAAAGTTTCCCTGGGTACAGGTGCAGCTCACTTGGCCCCAGCAGAATCAGAGATCACTGCTTCTGATAGCTGGAGCTTTCTTATGTTCCTTTAGCTTCCAGTCCTCAGCACTTCATACCTGAGGCGCCTTAGCTTTGCCCAGATCTGAACGCCGTGATATTGTCTCTGCTTTGCCTGACTGTCACCTCACAACAGTCCCATAGCCACCTTAAGGTACAAGGGTTCCCAGGTCTTGCCTCAATGTTTCCCTTTTCTCGCTTCTGCACCACTTGTCCAATATGTGAAAACACTGTTCTTTGCATTTTACGAAGTTCCCCCACTGCTTCCGATTTTAAATTTTAAGGTGTGTTAAAGAATCAGCCATTATTCTCTAATGGGAAAAAAATCCAACTCTTTTTTTAAAGAAGAAAAACTTCTTTGTGATATTCTTATAGAAGAAGGAAACAGCGTCTATCAGAGCGTCTCAGGGAAGTGCAGCATTATTTGAGAGCATTATTTCTTGGAGTTGATGCTAAAGGCTCCCAACACCACGTGTCACTGAAATGATACCGTAAGAGATAGGTGGGCTAGAACATGAAAGGAGACCTATCACTCAGAGACACTGGCTCAGTGCCTTTTTATTGTGGTCAATTTGTTTTATTTAGCAATGAATTTTCTATTTTCCATTCCAGCCACTGAAGCTGGGTTAGGGGGTTAGCTGAGAACCCAGATATTCTCACAGGAAAATGTGTTCAGTTTGGGAGTCACAGATTGAAGACAGTCATCTTGGGTGGGGCGAAAGGGAAAGAGAACGGCTCCCTGCGGCCATCATCACTATGGCTCATGAACCTTGTCCCCATTCCAATTAGGCCAAATGCCCAGACTGTGGTGAACCTTATTGCTACCAGAGATTCACGCAAGATCTTGGCCATTATTTCTTACCCAGCTGGTGCAATGTAATTAATATTTTTAAACTTTTAGTACTGTAAATACTCACATGCTATGTTATGTACTTACATTAAATGTTATGAAATATTTCATAAAGCACATGCTTACAGTGAGATAAACTTTGTAAATATGAAATTCATAATTTGCATTTTAGGTTTTTTTTTGAGTTGGCTGTTCCTATAAATACTTTGTTACCAAATAAACAACAAGCAAAACAAACATAGGTTGGGCCAAGGGAGATAACAATCTTCTTTCCAATGGAAAGAATCTCATTTAAATCAAATTTAAAGATAAGATATACAGAAGACATGATGAATTGTTATGTTAAATATACTTTAAACATATGTTGGTTAAATATACTTCAGCACTATAGTACAGGTAAAGAGATTGGTTTATCAAGGTGGATGCAATAAAGTTTCCACCCTTGAGATACTACAAAGTGTGTAGCAATGAAGGACCTGAAACACAGATTTAGGGAGGTAATTAGAACATTGTCGATGAGAATGGATCATGGAGAGCCAAGGGATACTACTCCAGCCCAAAGAGAAAGGCCCTTGTGTAGAAGTGACATATTGACTCCAGTGAAGCAGGCAGATATTAGTTAGGTGAAGGGTAGTGTAACACGATGTGGCATAATTGAGCATGGGAAAGCTGGAAGATGTTAGATAAGGGCACTGAAGCAAGAGATGGTGTGGAGGACGCTAGTATCCGTGCTTTATTTGTACCGTAAAGTGGGAGGCTGGAGTACCTGGGAATGAGGCTTACCACTATGATGGTTTCGTCCCCGTGCTAACAAGATTAGACTTCATCTACAGTGGAGGAGAGCCATCAAAGGATTCTAAAAGACATAGTCCTATAAAGAGATCTAGACTTTACATAGAGTGGAGTGTGGAGCTAATTTAGATAATGATAACTTTAACTATCCCAAAGTTACTCTAGCAAATGAATAAAGAGGTGAGGATGCCTGCCCCCCAACAGGGGACAGAGTATGACGGAAATGAGAACCCAGCACAGAGGGTACATCATCACGGAACCGAAAGCTGTGCTCTTCACCCTCAAGACGAGAGCTAAAGGTTTGGGTGCATTAGTCAGCATGAGGTCTGCTAGCTGAGAAAGGTTTAACCTCATGATTGCATTTTCAATCCGAAGAGTCTGCATGAGAGCAGATGCATGACTAAGATGTAAGCAGGTTTAGGGGGGCGGTCTCAGTGCAGATCAAAGGGTTGGTAGGAGAAACGATTCTGATCAGTGTTATTATCGAGTTGAAGGTTTGGAAATAGCAGGTTCTGGTGGAGCAGCCCTCGGCTGGGACACTTTCCACTAGTGGCACACACATGGCTGAGCGTAGGAAGGAAGACTACCAGTGGGAATCTGGTTGGGGTTTGTGCTGATGGAGGTGGGAGCACGAGGTTTCAGAGTTTCCCTGGGCAGCAGTCAAAGCTTCTTGAGGTTATCAAAATCAACATTTTCCTCATAACAAAAAATAAAAAGCAAAAAAACTCTATTTTAATAGAAGCATGTCTGTAATATTCCCATAACAGAAGGGAATGTTACCTATGAGAAGTCCTCACGAAAGAAACAAGGTACAGTATTATTTGAAAGAATTATTTCTTGGAGTGGATTCTAAAAGCTCCCCAAACTATGTCTCACTAAAATGATTTGCAAGAGAAAGGTGAGAAATTCCATTTTGTTCAACAGGGAGAGGAGAGGGCGTACAAATCAGAAAGAGGGAAAGAAAGACGGCAGAAGTCAAACACTGCTCCAGAGACCTCTTCATTGTCATCCTTAAGTGTGTGAGGACAGGGTGTGGGGGAGAGGCTTCAGTGGATAACAGGGCTTGAAGTGCAAGCAAGACCTGAGTTCCGATCCTTTGTACTCACATAAAAACACAGTGCGTGGCTTGGCACAACCAGCACTAGAGGAAAGATGCATAGATAAGAGGACCAGCGGGCGCTCACTGTCCAGCGAGCTACTTCTCAAGCGCTACGTGTACGTCCTCATTCATGAGCAGCACAACCCTGCTGAGCCACCGTAGCCCTACGTGCACAGCAAGGACTCCCCACATCACAAGAAGCTCCAGAGTGAGGCTTCACTAGGGCCCCTCAAGTGCGTTTTCCGACTGAAGCCTACAAGACTGGGTCCCCGCATCTCAGACCTGGAGGACATCGAGCGTCGCGACCACAACATGATGGAGCGCCAACACCACGAGAGTACACGCTCCAGTTTCCTGATTCTCAGGGACCTTGTGCCTGAGCTGGTGCACAGTGAGAAGGTGGTCATCCTGAAAAGGGTCATGGAGTACATTCGCATGCTGCAGGCTAAGTACAAGCTCCTGATGGAACGGGAGAGACAGCAGTTGCTGAGGAATATCAAACACTCCGAGATGTACTAAAGGCTTCTTAAATGGACAGTCACCGCTACTTTGCACATGTTGACTTGAAAAAAAAAACTATTGTGTTGACATTATGAATGTTGGTATACCTTCATATTGGTCCCTTGTGGAGTCTGGAGCTGGATAGGGGCAAGTCATGGAGTTCTAGTGGGGCCTTGGAAGTCTAGGAGCAGGATGCTAAGTGACTTCTTTTTTTCCTCCAACCGCAATGATGACCATGAAGATTCAGGACAGTTGAGAACCTTGGAAGGTGATTGAAGTCATGTTTACTCCAAGTTCCCAGAGTCACTTCTCCTTTTTACAGGAGTAATTACACCCCAATAGATGCCACAGAAAGGGAATCCTCATTTGAAGTCCCTGGAGGAACATTTCTGTAAATGCTGTAGACTCGCCCACCAAGAGATCAGTAATACACTGGAAGTTTACAACTTAGTATTGTAGTAACACCTCAATGTTTGAGGAGCATGTTTTGTGTACAGATATGTCAATCTCTGCTATGTATACTGTCTGTGGTGTACTTTAGTATGATGTTGACACATAACTAAATTTGATATTTATGTTTACATATGAAAATGAAGAGTGAAAGTTTTTGGTGTGACTTTATCACTTTTTTTAATTGAGAAACTTTTAAAAGAAATTATATATATATATATACATATATATGTATATTCTTTTTTCTCCAAGTCTATGTCTTTCTGTTAGTGTATTTGTTCATGTGTGATGTGTACAAATGAGTGAGTGCAAAGTTGTGTGCTCAATTTCTACAAAACATGTGGCCTTTGAAATACCTCATGCTATTATGAAATAAATAGCAATGAAATGATTTTTGAAAGGGAAAAAAAAGACCACCAGGATTCCAGCCAGCCAGCCTTGCTGAAAAATCAGCAAGCTCCAGGATCAATGTCCTATCCACAAAGGAAAAGAGAAAGAGTGACAGATTAGAACACCTAAGATCCTCCTTCTCTGGTCTCTTTGGGTGTGTATGCGAGTACAGGCACCTGCACGTGTGTGTGTGCACGCACACACACACACACACACACACACGACAGCCCCACAAATACCTAGAGAATATTGCTTTATTTGTGTAAATAGACAAGGAACTGAACTGAACTTGCACATCAGGACCAACTGTAAGGATGCAGGAGACAGACTCACGAACTGTAGCCAGCATTGATCAGATAGAAAAGAGCCCTTAGGCCCAGGCAGGGATGCTTCACATAAAGTGTACCTCAAAATTAGGGTGATGCCCTGCCCCCTGCAGCTTCGGGTTGACACAATTCAAAGATTCCGCTCTGTGTCTCCTGACCTCCTTACATAGGCCTTATACCCCCAAGGATGCTTACTTGATAGACACCATTTCGAGTCATCTTTCTCAAGGGCATCCGCTACCTTTTCTAAGAGCCGCTGAAGAGAAAGTGACTGGATCCCTGACCTTTTATTGCTTCTAAGTAAACAACTTGAAGCACAGCACAGTACTGTCATTTTCATATAACACGGCCATGACATTTCCAAACAGCAGAGCACTGTGAGAACGTATGAGCACTTTCTGAGAGAGGCTGTACGAGCAGAACAATTCATGCATCCTGAGCCACTATAAACTGTTGGCACTGGACTAGCCGAGAAAGCCACACTCATAACGACCCTCTGCTCACAGATCCAGGCATTGGCCCTCACAGGCATATGCTGGCTGTCAGGTCGATGTTGGTGGCCCAGGACATTGTCTGGAGAAGGCTCATCAAGTCTGTCACTATCATAACTAGACTGGACTAACCTGGGATGAAGCTAAATGTGTGCTCAGGATGTCACAAAGCAGGGTCATCATATTTTTCTTTTTTAAAGAAACAGTTCTAAACTCTGACTGAAGGAAAAATGTGTTGGGCATGGTTTAGAGTTTGGGGGATCTGGGAACCTATCAGAGGTTACAGAGAGAAGCTGTGCTTTTGTGAACAATTATAACTTCAAGACTTATCACTTGTATCTTTGGATGGATTATCAGCACACGTGGTAGCATTGGGTGATGAAGGAGTGGATTAACTAAGCAGGTTAAGGAAACTACAATGTGATTCAAATTTCTGCTACTCTGAAAAGTACCCAAAATAAACAAATTAGGTGGAAGAAATGCTTACTTTGATGCATGATTGCTTGGTTTGGTAGCTTTGGGGAAATGGAAAGACAAAACATGTAAGAGACATGTGGTGATACAAACATGTTTAGCTCGTGATAGCTAGAGAGGAGAGAAGGAAGAAAGGACCCCATTCTTCCTAGCCCGTGAAGGGCACGCCCAATGACTTAACGACCTTGCATGAGGCCCTACTTCAACCACCTCCCAAGCGCTGCACCCAGGAGACCAAGCTTCCAACCTCTCAGAGATACTCTGGATCCAAACTCCAGCCATCATTGAAAAGGAAAAAGAAAAATGCCCTAGTGCATTTGATAAAAATAAAAGGCAGAAAGTAGTTCATAATTTCAGCTTCATCAGTTAAGTCTTAAGTAACTTAAACTCTTACAGCTAACAAACAACATATTAGTGAATACAAATCCTTAGGGGAATGATTTAATGGATAGAAAATAATTATTCATAAATTAATCATAATTAGTAAATCAATTGTATTTAAATTTCCTACTTGTGAAGTACTTGAAGTTGTTGAAAGTACTTAGAAACAGTTTCTGTCCTGTACTGTTCTGAACACCCTGTTTAGAAATAAATTGTACTAACTGTAAGCAATGTGGCAAAAATTAAATTTTACTCAAGTCTAGTTCTGCCTCAGAAATCTTGAATTATTATAAAATCTGAATGTTGTGGAATTTTAAAGGTAATTTGATTTTAACTTTTTTTTAAAAAAAAAAATGGGCATCATGGTTTGAGTGTTGAAATATGTTTTAGCTCCTCTCTTCTAGTTGTGAGAAAATATCCTAACCTAAGCAACTTAAGAGGAAAGGGTTTATTTTGACTCGCAGTTCCTAAGGCTATGCTGAGCATGGATGGGAAGGCATAGCAGCAGGTAGAGAAAGCTTGGAGGCAGGAGCAGGAAGCTGGCTAGCCACACCACACCCACACTCAAAGAAGAGTCAGTAGGTGGAACTCAACTATAAAGCTTCAAAGCCTGGGGGCAGTGGCCCCCTTCTTCCAGTGAGGCTCCACTTCCTGAGGGCAACACCACTTTCCGTTCTAACTCCATGCGGTCTACAGAAGTTAACTCAAGAAAACAGCTGCAACACAACCAGACCCATAGCCAGCAATCTCAAGTGATTAAAAGTCTCTGTAAAGACAATCTGCAGGATGGATGGATTCACTACTGAATTCTAGCAAACTTTTAAGGAAAAATCAAATTTTGAAGGAGTAATACCAATACTTCCTCAGACTCTTCTAACAAATAGAGAGGGATGGAACCTTTACAAACTCATTCTGCAAAGCTAGCAATAGTCAGCTAACAAAGCTGACGTAGACACAACAAAAAAGCAAACAACGTGCCAATTCCCCTAGTGAACACAAATGAGAATGTTCTCAACAAAATTCTTGCAACTGAAGTCAAGAACACAGAAGATCATGCAACATGACCTTGTGGGTGTAATCCCAAGGACGCAAGTTTGCTTCGGCATACACAAATCGATAAACGTGATACATCATGTAAATAGGATGAAGGACAGAAATTATGTAGTCACTTCGATAGACTCAGAAAGGCATTTGACAGAGCTCAACATCCCATCATGACACATACACTAAAGAAATTAGGGTTAGAAAGAACAAACCTCAACAGAATAATGGCTAAATACAACAACCGTGTAATAGACAGCACTGTACTAAACGCAGGAAAACTGAGAGCATTTCTTTCAAATTTAGAATAATATTTGGATGCTCCTGGTGCGGGAGAATTATCGGTATTCTGTCAATCATGTATTTTAATAAAACGCTGATTGGCCAGGCAGGAAGTATAGGCAGGTCAACCAGACAGGAAGTAGAGGCGGGGCGATGAGAACAGGAGTATTCCAGGAAGTCCCTCCGCCACTCCTGTGCAGACCACCGAAGAGGCAGCATGTAACTTGCCCAGCTGAGAAAAAAGGTACGGAGCCGTATGGCTAACATAGATAAGAATAATGGGTTAAGATAAGTCATAAGAACTAATAAGTAGCCTGACCTAATAGGCCAATCAGCTTTATAACTTATAGAGATCTCTGTGTGATTGATTTTCTCTTTGGGATTTGCCGGCTGTGGGGTACCGGGCAGGTCGGAAATCCCAACAAGCCGGCCCCTCATGTTGCAGCCTCCTCTCTTCACTCCTAGTTGGCAGAATGCCCAATGTCTTATCTCTAAGAAAAGATAAATAAATTAAAGGAATACAAATAAGGACAGGAAAATATCCCTGTGGTAGATGACATAATTCTATACCTGAAAGGTCCTAATAGCTCCACTATAAAACTCTAAATTCTTATAATGTCTACAAAACCAATGTATAAAAATCAATAACTCTGCTACATATCAATATTGAACTCGGTAAGAAAGCAGAAAAAAGCACTCCATTAACAGTAGCTTTTAAAAACTACCTTAGAATAAGCCTAACGTGCAGGGTGAAAGAACTCTATAAAGACAATTTGAAGACACTGAAAAAATAAATTGTAGAAGATACTAGAAAAACCACAAGGTCTCCCAAGCTCAGGGGTTGGACAGATTAATACCATGGAAATGGCTATGTTATTGAAAGATGTGCACAAATTAAATGCAACCCCTCATACACACATTCCCATTAATTCTTCACAGAATTAGGAAAAAGCAATAAAAATTTGTGTGCAAACACACAGGACTCCAAATATCCAAAACAGGGCTAAGCAAAAAGAGTAATACTAGGGCTATCGTAATATCGGACTATACTCCAGAGTTGTAGTGACAAGGACAGCATACTTTTGGAACAAACACAGAAGACCAATGGAATAGAAGAGAGGAAATAAACCCACACAGCTACAGCCATCTATTTTGTGACCAAGGTGTCAAGAACACACATTGGAAACAAGTCAGCCTGTTTGACAAAGTAGTGTTGGGGAAATTGGATATACACACAGACGCACGTTTCTCAATGTGCACA